GAGCGAGAGCTCAAGCACAAGCAGGGAGCAGGGGCAGAGAGAGGTAGAGGGGGAAGCAGACTCCCTGCTGAGCAGAGAGCCTGATGTGGGACTCGATTCTAGGACCTTGAGATCCTGACCTGAGCCAAAGGCAGTTGCTTAACCAACTAAGCCATCCAGGTGCCCCTAGTTTTATTTTTTTAAATAGACTTTGTTTTTTAGAGCAGTTTTAAGTTCACCACAAAATTGAGCAAAAGGTGCAAAAGTTCCCCATGGACCGTGCACCCCCTACCCATCACAGCCTCCCCCACCATCACTATCCCCCACCAGAGTGGTGCATCTGTTATAGTTGTTGAACTACACCAATACATCAGTGTCACCCACAATCCGTAGTTTATATCAGGGTTCACTCTTGGTGCCATTAACTCTGTGGGTTTTGACAAAAGTGTGATGACATGCATCCACTGTGACATCATACACAATAATTTGCCCTAAAAATCCTGTGCTTTGCCTACTCGTCCCTCCCTCCCCTCCCCTGACAACCACTAATGGACTACCTCTGTAGTTTTGCTGTTTCCAGAATGTCCTCTAGTGAGAATCACACAGGATGTAACCTTTTTAGATTGGCATCTTTCACTTAGTAGTATGCAATGCACAGGTAAAGTTTTCAAATGTAATGCAATAGTTGTAAATTTTTTAGCGGCTGTGAACAGCAGAGAATCGACAAGACAGACATCATTAACTCTGGTGCTCCTCTGCCATGTGGTGCCTCCTCTTGCCCATTCCAAGAAATCCCAGCTTCAGCCATTGCTTTATCCTGGCCACAGACTTTTCTGTATCAGATTAATTCCTGTTTCTAAAACTGCTCATGTGCTTTCTCCATTCACCTGTGGTAGTTGTTAGGGGAGCGTGGGTGCTAGGTGCTCACGACAGGGCTCCTTGTCCTTGGCTGTGAGAATCAAGACAGTTAAAGCTGTGTTGAATTTAAGACTGAGAGTGTACTAGGATCACTGTAGGGGGAATTATCTAGAAAAAATGAATTTTCTTTTTGAGCAATGAAAACTACAAAAGAGCATAACACCTGTCACTTTAGCAGACCTCTTCAAGGTCTGCAGTTAGGGACAAGGGAAGAACTGCACTTTAAATGCTAATTATCTGGGGAGAAAATGTCCCTTGGAGGCCTTATTGGGAGCAGTGGGAGGCCACCGAGGCACTGAGATCTCTTGTGAAGACTGCAGAGAAGCCCTACCTGGGAGCAAGGCCAGAGCCTTTCCTCGCAAGAGGAGGGCTCCATAGCCCTCAATAATTAAGGCCTTTCAGCCTCTGTTGGAAACACCTTGGACAAGGATTTTCTGGTTGTAGCTCTTTCTTTCACTTTAGGGAATTTGTAATTCCATCGTCTTGTATTCATGAGTCATTTCCGATGACAATAATTAGGGTGACAAGAAGCCAAAGGATGGCTAGGACAACTGGTGATTTTTTTGGACAAAGCCCCAGGTGGGCAAGAGGAAGGACTCTGGGGCTCCAGAACCTCCTTCCTGGGACATTGGGATGGACTGTGCCTCTAGCTTCACGGGCTGTGATGCAGGGGTACCGCAGGCAGAGCCACTCTGAACCTGGTGCTTGGATGTGACCCTAGCTGATGAGAAGGCAGGGCAGAATGAGGCTTCTGGGAGAAGCAGCCAACACGTCAGAGTCTCCTCCCAGGTGCCCCTGATACTTTTCTTCCCTCTCCCTGTTCCTCCTTCCTCGTCTCTCCCTCTTCATGTCTTCCCTTCTTTCAGTGGAGATAACCAGAGGTTTAAGACAACCACTGTCCTACAGCACCTCCTGGTGCTGTGGGGCTGGAGGGGAGGCCCCCGGTCTGAGGGTGGCCGGGCTGGGCTAGAGGGCAGGACACAGATCCTCTCACATGTTGGGGCCATGGCAGGGAAGGCTCGAGGCTGGGCTCCCCCAGGATAGCCAAGGTGGTGTCAGGGTCCTGGACAGAGTATTTGCTGAGCCCGCATGCCAGGGTCCCAGGCACAGACATCACCTCATGGTGGGAGAAAAGTATCAAAAAACTTACAGCAGGTTTTTATTTTTAAGATCTTATTTATTTATTCATGAGAGACAGAAAGAGAGGCAGAGATATAAGCAGAAGGAGAAACAGGTTGCCTGCGGGGAGCCCAATGTGGGACTTGATCCCCAGGATCCCGGTATCATGACTTGAGGCAAAGGCAGACGCTCAACCACTGAGCCACCCAGGTGCCCCCTTACAGCGGTTTTTAAAAGTCAGATTCCCTGTGATATAATTTACAGAAAATTATAGATTCCCCCTTTTTAAGGTACAGTTGTGTACGTTTCGATAAACACACATAGTCCACAATCACAACCGTGATCGAGACACAGACTATTTCCATCACCAGCAGAATCCCATGTGCTGCCCCTCTGTACTCCAGAGGGATTATATCTTCAGAGTGTATTTTTTCTGTTCTTTTACTTGTAAGTTCTTTATGTCTTCACCTTTAAAGTGAGATTCTTTTAGACACCACAAAGTCAGGTCTCGCTTTTCATCCGATGGCCTGTCTTTTGTTGGTATGTATGGACTGTTTACATTTATGTGACTTGATAAAGTTAAAATCTGTAATCTAGACAATTGCTTTCTGTTTGATCCCTCTCCTGTTTTCTCCTTTTCTGCTCCTTTTGCTTACCTGCTCTGGGATTAATTAGGTATTTTCATATTTACATCATTTCCCCCATGCTTGCCTTATTTTATATCTCTTTTCCAAACTCATTTAGTGATTGCTCCAGAGTTTATGACAGACATCCTTAATGAATCACAGTTTATCTTGAGGCATACCACATGCATAATGTAAGAATCTGGTCAGTGTGTCCTTCCAGAGCCTCCTTCCCAATTCTCATCTTGTCAGGACCACTCATTTCACTCGTACCTACGCTACAGGTCCTGATGAAACACTACCTTTGTTGCTCTAAACAATCAGCTATATTTGAGAGTGAGTCAAAATAAGAAAAGAAATCCATTCTAACTGCCTTCATCTTAGCTGTTTCTGGAAATCACCATTTCTCTGCATACAGCTAGGCCTGGCGTCTGTCTGGTATCACGTTCCTCCAGCGTTTTTCACAGTGCTGGTGTGCTGGTAATGAATTCTCCCCATCTGCATCTCCCTGAAAACGCCTTTATGGTGCTTTCACAGGACAAGAACCCCGGGACCATAGATTTTCCCATCAGTACCTTAAACATACTACTCCATAGCTTCCTGGCTCACTTGGCTTCCAATGGGAAGGCCTTTGTAATTCCCTCCTTCATTTCTCTGTAGCACCGAACTTGTCTGGGCATCTGCAGCCTCCGAATGCTCTGTCCTGCCCTGCCAGCCCGCATTCAGGTGCTGGCGATTCATTAGAAATTTTAGCTGAGTTTCCCCTACCTGGCTGCACAGTGTCCCCTGATCCTTCTCTGTCGCAGGTGAGCCAGCACTTGCACCCTCACCCCTCCAAGAGACCCATCTTTTCTTAACATTTCAGACTCCCTGGTTGCCTTGTTGACCTTGGCTTTCCTCCAGGCTCAAGGAAATTTAAGATTTAGTAGTTAGTTCAGCTTCAGTACTGGGAAGTGACGTTCTTCCCGGCATTCTACCTCCTCAGCACTGTGATCCCCCCTGGCCATTTTTATTTAGTTATTTTTAATCCACAAATGCTGAGTGGGGAACCAGACCATTGGCCTGGCAGCCAGCATCAAGAGCAGCTTGGAAAAGAGCGTTACTTGAGGAGTACACTGAGGGGCTGGGGTGAATTTTATGCTTTTTTCACTTCTGCCTAATGAGATGAGCTTTTGGAGAAGAGAATAATGAGAGGCTTCGTAATCTTTAACAGTACCATGCTCTGTCCCCGTGTGTTCTGTGCCAGGAAACTGTTGTCTTTATGTCTTTACCTTGAGCCAGAGGATCCTTTTGGCTTCTGTGTCTTATTTTTGAAGCAAGCTCTGAAAGAACAGGACCTTCTTTTGCAGAAAGTTGGATGTCACAGCCAGTGGGCTCATCCCCTCCTTTGAGGCCAGTGAGGTTCTTGTCCTCCAGCAGTCAGTCATGGCTGCCTTTTTCAAAACCCTTTGGATTCCTGATGGTCTGCCGTGTACTTTATCAACCATTGTATTTGGCACATGAAGCAATGCCCAAAGCAACCTATCTACATCCTCAGCACAGCTCCCCCCATGTACCCCATGTCTAGTCATGCTCACTGTTTCCTCACAGTATGCTGGGGTTTTATAGTCCCAGGTCCTGCTCACTCTATTTCCCCAATGGAGAAGGCCTTTCTCAAGGCCTTCCCTCTTCAGACATTTCTTCCAGACCTAGTCTAGGTGCCTCCTGGCCAGAGCCTTCCATGCTTTCATAGGGCAGAGTTGGCTGCTCTGTCCTAGGTGTCTGCTGCTCCACAGAACAATGTACCTGTTTCAGTTGCATGAGTAGCCAACATGACTTCCTGGAAGGCAGGCCATTTGGTGTAGCTGGTCAATAACAGGAAGACAAAATGGTGATCCCTGTAATAGACAAAGAGAAATTTAGTCTCCAAATGAATGAACAATCCATATGGGAGGGGATGCTTTTTTTCCCATATGAAGGATAAATGGGCTTGAAACATGGTGGTACCTAGGGGGGAAGGGGTTTCTCGAAACCTTGCCTGGATCTCAAACACTGAGTCACTGAGAAATGAACCAGAGAAAGCTTTTATTCGCTTTTTATTTCGGGATTCCTGGGAAAGCCTCACCCGTGGAATGAGATGATCCAGTCCACTTTTACACCAACACCTTAAAGAATTCTCCAGCACAAGATGAGAAATAGCCCAGTTCTTTTTCTTCATAATGCCACTATTAGCTTCCAGAAACATTCATCACACTTCCCTGTTCTCAATGCTGTAATGGCCTGTGAATCAGGAGTGGCAGTTAAGAGTTTCTTTTTCATCTCTTCTCCCTACCGTGCCTCCTACCGTTTGTTTTGCTGTCTTCCACGACTGCCTTGGAACAGTGCCTACTGCGCCCCCACAGAACGTGCAGATGGAAGCTGTGAATTCCACAACCATCCAGTTTCTCTGGAATCCCCCACCTCAGCAGTTCATCAACGGCATCAACCAGGGATATAAGGTACATGGACTTAGTTCAGAGCCCTGGGTGGCCGTCCTGGTATGTCATGGTCTTGTGACCAATGAGAAGGCTGACCACTCCTCATTTCATAAAGAACCCATTGCATCAAGTTACAGAGTGTGTTGGCTTTGGTGCTAGTGGTTGGGCGGGGGGATGAGGGAGTCACCATTTATCCAAGTCCTTATCTGCTCTACTGGTTCAAAAACTCAAATTATTAGTTTTCAAGTGGATGGTTCATACGTAACAGAGCAATTTCTTTTGAGAAAAGCCATTTATTTTAAAATTAGCAGTGGAAAACCTATCTCAATTGATTGGAATCAGCATTTGTACAAACCACTTCTTTCTGGAGAGAAGTCCTCTCAGAGGACCACAGACTTAGAACAAAGGGTGCTAGATGCAGTGAATGATATTTCTGTCAGGTAAAGATATTTATTCCCTCCCCATCTCAAGTTCAGAGAGAGTTCTGTTTATAGAACCAAGACAGTGAATTCAGGGCACCTACCTGGCTTGAATTAGATACCCAGATTCCCACTATATAACCTCCAGATAACTTTCCTTAACGACCAGAATATGTTACCTTCATAGATGTATTTGGACGCAATTTCCAAAAGTGTAGTTCATCGTACCTTTTAGATCATCTTCTGGTTAGACTTGGGATCCCGTCTTGGTTTTACCTACATCACAGCCACTATGTTCTGCAATAGTAGGTAAGCTCAGGGAAGACCTTTATGGAGAAAGGACTCTATCTAGTCTGCTTGAATTCTTGGTAATTTCAGATTCAGAGAGTATTATTTCCTTAGACACGTGGTTCACTTCTTTTTCCCGTTTGGATTCAACTTACAAAAACACTTTTTTGTTTTCACTAGAAAGGCAGATGTAGCTAGAAATTTGCCCTGCCTTTTCTTTTCCTTTTAGATTCCCCCAGAGGAATCTACACTCAGAAGCTTTTTTGAAAGAAAATCATATTGATCAACCAAGATGATTTTGCCTCCTTGACTTTCCTGTCAAGTCTTATTGGCAAGACTGGAGCATTCATTCAATGGCTCAGTGTCGGTTTGATCTATATAAATACGCTTTGTGTCCTACAGCATGTCAACCTTCAGACCTAATTAACCCTGGAAATGTTTGGTATCAAAGGAATTAAAAGTCACACTCATACATAATGTTGCCCAAACATTAAAACAACTTCCCTTGGAATATGTATGTATACTATATTTCTTTAAAATTATAATTGACTTCCTAAATTCTTTTCAGAAAACTAGTGTGACATAAATCATAAATAATTAAGATTCATTCTCATTGAATCCCGGGCTTCTTTCTGAGGCAGAGTAGGTGCCTATCTGGAAAAAATATCTGTGTTCATGTTTTGTTGATAATTGTGTTTGTCTTATTGTACCGATTAAGTCAAGTAAAGATGGCATTGTCTTTATTGCATAGTGCTAAAAAAAAAAAAAAACCATGTATGCTCCACAACATCTTTAAGTGAAGAAAAAGTGAAGGTTTGAGGAGTGTCTATTATTCCAACATGTTTAAAGTAGATATTTTATTTATATATACATGTATAAAATATATACAAATGTATATATTTGTGTACAATTATCTGTGAGATAGCCTTTCAACTCCATATTTTTAAGTGAAATTATAAAATGTAGGATTTACGGAGTTTCTTAATCATGACATTGCTTTCTTTGAAGATACAGTAATTACAAGATAAAAATTTGGATACAGACTTGAGAGTGAAGATGTGCAGTTTAAAAGGATCTCTTTGTCCACCTGTCCCCTCACAGCTCCTGGCGTGGCCAGCTGAAGTCCCCGAGGCCACCACAGTGGTCACCATTGCACCAGATTTCCACGGAGTCCATCACGGGTATATAACAAATCTGAAGAAGTTCACTGCTTACTTCGCATCAGTTCTGTGTTTCACCACTCCAGGGGATGGGCCTCCAAGCACACCTCAGCTCATATGGACTCACGAAGATAGTGAGTACTCCTCTGCCATGTGTCTTCTCAAAAGTCAGAAGTCAGGTGTCAAGGAGGTCCAGACTACCTCACTACCAGTGCTGGATGAGGTCCGAGGAGGGTCATGAGGAGCCTTTATGTCCTCAGAGTGCTCACAGACTGTGCACCCTAGTGAGATAGGTCATGGGCAGTATTAGTAATGAGTGGCAGAAGGTGGTTTCTGGGATTCGAAGCCAGGCTAGTGGAAAGATCTCAGAGGGCAAGAGAAACAGTCTGGACTCAGCCATGTGGTCCACCTGTGGTCTTGCTGGACTTCTCTATCCCCAGATTTCAACTCTCAATCCCCGTACCTTCTTCTTGAACACCCCATGAGGCCTCCCAGCTATGCCTTCCCTGACCCTCCCTGGGGCATCTCTCCTGAGTTCCTCTGAGCATCCTGACTTGCCATCACCTCCATCTGGTCAGCTCAGACCAGCTCCTTCTCGGCCTCCAGGCCAGCTGACACCTGTGGAAAGCATCATCTAGTGAAGCTATCTGAGAAAATGACCACAGATGTACACTAAGACTCGCATACAGGGAGGTTCATTGTGGTTATTTGTGATGGGATAAAAAGAAAGAAAGAAAAGTATGCAAATGTCCCAGATGGGTATAATTTTAAAAATTATAGAATGACAATATACTAAACATTTTGTCATTATTAAAAACTTTTGAGAGAAAATTGTCATGATCTAGTGTTAGGTGAAAAAAAATATGTAAAACTACATGCGATCTAAATTTTATAGTAGCACACTTGTATAAAACTACCTGAGATGAGAAGAGACCTTGAAGGAAAGATGTCACAATTCTGACAGTTGTTATCTTTATGTGATGTGATCATGGAGATTCTCCACATCTGTTTGGATTTTGCCCCATGTTCTCATTTCGCTGTGAATACATACTCTCTTTATAAGGAGAATTGAAACTAGTACATGTTTAAGAAAAAGTCACCCAGGGCTGCCACTTGTCTGTCCTCCCATCCAGGCCACGGGACTCTGGGTATGGCTGGCCTCCTGTGCCACAGATGGCACAGTGGCACGATGGTGCGGTGGCTTGGCCCTACTTGCTGAGGCCTCATTGTCGCTATGCTCACAGAGGCAACATGTACAGAGGTCATGGCCATCCAAGATGAGCTCCCTCCCCCTCAGCTCCCCCCTCAGGCCCTTCATTCTCACCTCACTGCCTCTCTCGGAAGATGGAGTCTGACCCTGTTGTCAACCCACAAATGCACTCAGGTGTCTCTCATCTGAAAGTGGCAACTCCCCACCCACCCTGTGTTCCTGGTGAGCTCACTTCCTTCCCAGAGAAACTATTACTGGACCCCTAACCTCTCACACTCATCATAACCTTCAGCAACAGTTCTCACCCCACCCCTGGACGGTGACCTCCTAACAACCATTGCATTTTATCAGCTGCTGCAACTACATCGACTGATACGATTCTGTGGGTTTTTCTTTTTCGGCGAGTTGTTGATAGAGCAGATTGATTTTCAAATGTCGAACCAGCCTTGCACACTTGGAGTAAATCCCACTTGGTCCTAGTTTGTAATTATTGTTTATGTTGCTGGATTTAATTTGCTAATACTTTGTGTGTGATTTTTTTGCATCCAGGTTGATAAGAGAGATTTCTGTACTTACTATGTGTCTGGTTAAGTGTCAGGGTAATGACTGGCTTCATAAAATAAGTTTGGAATTGTTCCCCCTCTGCTGCTTTCTTTTTTTTTTCTTAAAGATTTTATTTATTTATTTATTTATTTATTTATTTATTTATTTATTTATGTGCTTGAGCAGGGGGAGGGGCAGAAGGAGAGAGAGAATCTCAAGCAGACTCCATGCTAAGCACAGAGCACAATGAAGGGGTGATCTCACAACCTTGGGATCATAATCTGAGCCAAAACCATGAGTTGGATGCTCAACCAACTGAGCCACCCAGGCTCCCCAGCTCCTCTTTGGCTCTCTAGAAGAGATTGTGTAAAGTCAGTATGAATTCTTCTATAAATGTCTGGTGGCATTTTCCAGTGAAATCTTCTGGACTTGGATATTTCTTTTAGGGGAGCTTTTAAATTATAAATTTGTTGTCTCCGATGATTACAGTACTATTCAGTTGTCTGTTTAATTTTGGTTGTGTAGTGGCAGTCTGATTTTTCAAGAAACTGACCCTCTAAGTTGTTGAGTCTGTGCATATAACACCGCTGGCAGTATTCCCTTAGTCTCCTCCCATGGCTGCAGGGTATGTTATTGTGTTCCTTGTTTCATCCCTAATATTGCTGACCTCTTTTTCTATTTCTGTCATTTTTCCTAGAGATTTGTCAGTTTTATTGATTTTTTTTTTTTTGAGGAACCAGCTTCTTATTTCATTGCGTTTTCTCCATTGTTTTCCTATTTTCAATTGCATTGATTTCTGCTGCTAATATTTCCTTCCTTCTGCTTGTTTTGAGTATATTTCTTGGTCTTCCTTTAATTTCTTGAGGTAGGTACTTAAACTATTGATTTGAGGCCTGTCCTCATTTCTTTTACAAACACTTAAGGCTATAAATTTTCCTCTCTACACTGCTTTAGCTGCATCCCACATAATTTGACATATTGGGTTTCATTTTCACTTAGTTCTATATACTTTGATTCCTTTGAGACTTCCTATTTGGCCTATGAGTTATTTAGAAGTGTGCTGTTTAGTTTCCATGTGTTTGGAGATTTTCCTGTTGTCTTTCTGCAACTGATTTCTAACATGATTCCACTGCTGTCAGCACACTATACAATTTCAATCCCTTTAAGTTTATCAAAGTTTGCTTTAGGGTCCAGCATGTGATCAGTCTTGGTGAATGTTTCATGAGGGCTTGAAAAGAATACTGTGTATTCTGCTGTAAAACCTACTTTTCAATTATACATTTTATATACCACCCTCCACCAGAGTTTAGGATTAAGGAGCCAGTTGATCAAGTTTAGCTTTTCCATTTTTTTTTTTTAAAAGTATGCCTATCTCATCAAGTCTCATTTCCACATAATTATCTTATAATTAAATGTTGCTTGATTGGTTCACTCATCCATCTGTCCAACACAGAGACAAGCTATGCACATTTACGCTCAGATGTCTGTGGTATGCCTACTTTGTGTGAAGTAGCCAGCTGGGCAGTGCAAGGGTTGCAGAGATAAGGCCTCTGCCTTTCGAGCTTATAGCCTAGTCTGACATGAGGCACATGTCTGAGGCCAGTGCCACAGAGGAGGTCTGGAGAAGTGGCTGACACTGCTCATGAAGAGTAGCAAAAAAGTGTTGTGGAGGAGCATCAGGTGAGTCTTGGAGGAGGCAGCAGCTGAGGCAGCTCTTGACAGATAGCTTTCGTGCAGAGAACAGCTGAGGGCATTCTATGTGGGAGAAGCGGCATTCACCGTGGTGAGAAGAGTACTCAAGTGTGAGAGGGCATGAGCGAGCTATTTGGTGTGGCAGTAGCACAGCACGTGGAGGCGAGGGAGGGACGAGCCAGAAAACAAGTTGGGAACTGATTCAGAAGAATCTTGGCTGCGAAGTTTGGACAAAGACATTCTGGGCATTGGGGACCCACAGAAGGTTCTCCATGATGGGGTTATCTGAATGAATCCATGTTCCAGAAGTTCTGTGTAGGGGTCTTGTGAGGATGCAGTGGAGGTAAAGATGAAGGAAGCTGAGAAGAAGGGAGCCCATGCTGTGGGGACAGTGGTGAGAGGTCATGGAACCTAAAGACATGTCACAGGGCTGTGGGGTAGGAGAAAGGAGTTAGGATGACCCACCATGCTCTGGTTTACGTGACTGCAGAGTTGATGATGTCAGTGATCAAAATGTGGGAAATGGGTCTAGGGTGAGGACACCGGGCTGATGTGGGACACACGAGGTATGCGTGGCTGTGGGGCCTCTGGGCCTACGTGTCTGAAGTGGATCTGGGAGTCCTAGCAAGTCACAGTTATGACCTTACTTTCCAAGGAAGGGCTAGGGAAGGCAACTGAATATGTGGTCTAACCACAGACAGAAGTATTTGAAATCCACTCCATCTCAGGGTGTCTGAGCGACAGGGTCGCTAGCAGGTAAAGCCGCCTAAGCAGATGAAGTCACCTTAGGGATCAGGCAGGCAAACTCTAAGACAAGGGAGCAAAGAGACAGGCGCAGCCACTGGGCTCTGTCCTGGTCATGTGGGACCGAGGGTGCAGAGGGGGCCACGTAGGGTCTCAGGGAAAGAAGAGGGAGCCTCACTTGGGTGAAGTGTACTGTGTGCAGTCATCTGTAGGGAAGCACAATCCAGCCCCCTTACACCTTTGATGGGATGGAGAGGTAGCTGATGGGGATAAAGTTCATGAGTATACTCCTTATAGCGCTTCATTACGTGGACAGTGGTGAGGGATTTTCCTCTATTTCACTTATTTGAGGAAGAGGCAAGGGCAATGTCTCTGCTCAAGGCACAGCCAGGTCCAACTGGATATCAGAATTCACTTTCAGAAGATATTTATTAAAAATACAAAGTCGCAGAAGAAGGTAACTCCTTCCAAAGAAAAGAGTGAACACTCCTGGCTGAATTCTTTGCGTAAAGAAAAACCTCAATTGTTGCCAGTTAAACAAGCAGAAAGAAAAATATCCCATTAAGCTCTGTGGCCAGGAAGCTGAACCTTAAATGCATTTTTTGCCCACCATTAGTAGGGAAAAGGAGAAACTGGAAATTTCTTTCTTGGGAATTGAGAAAACTGGAAGTGATCTTATACTTTTAGAGTTTTCTAATGCAGTCACAATTTTTCAGTAGCTGGGGAACCTGTTGATACTGTTTGGAGTGTGGACTATCTCACAGAAAGGTTGGAGTAGGGCTGATGGCCCGATGGGTGCTGGAAGCACAACCACCCGAGCTTTCAGGGTTATGGCACCTCACTTCGATCCGCATCCAGCCGGACTCCTTTTCCGAAGCTCCAACGCAATAAGAACTCAGGGGTGGGGTGGGGAGGGCAGGCAATGCAGTAAAGAGGAAATAGAATATAAATTCTAAGCCAAGACATTGCCAGCTGGTTCCAGCAGAGCTAGAGGACAGCATATTTGGGCAGGAATCCAAGAAGCAGAAACATTGAGAATATAAAAGGAGCAAAAAGCTTTCTTTGCTGCTCTATCGATCGAAAAAAGAACAAGTCAGTTTGAAAATCCGTCAGAATGTCTTTCTGGAAACTCAAAACTGGAGGAAGATGAGCTGGTTTCGACAGCCGTTCTATTTTACCGTCTTTCCGGCTCAGAGACTGGCATTTGTGGGTGTTTGAGATTATCCATAAAACGTCTTTTGAAAGTTTCACCCAGATGAGCATATTTGCTGAGACTGTTTCTTTTCCTTTTTTTTTCCTTTTTTTTTTTTTTTTTTTTAATTAGAAGTTGTGTTAGGAAGCTTTGTCCAAATACCAGCTGAGTCCCAGGTACTGAATCTGCCATCTATGCAGACAAGGCGACAATGGCCCAAACAGGAACAAGGCTTCTCCATAGGGATCCCCTGAAATCTGCTCTTCGGGAGGATGACCAACACCCTGTTTTCATGCTCTCTTATTTTAAACTTGAAAGATTGAATTGTGTTATGATTAAAAAGACCTCAGTGTGGCATGTTCAGGGCCTGATGGGAGAGTCAGAGGCACAGTCTCTCAGGAGGAGCCTGGTGTTTCCAAGGGGCCTGGGGCTCCTGCCTAATCTGTCTGTGCTGAGGGAATGGGTTCCTTGGCTCCTCTCCATTCTCCTTCAGTTCCTCCTTTGTCTCTGATTCTGCCCCACGAGCCTCCCCTCCTTCTTCCCTGACTCGTCTGGGCATGGGGAAGGATAGTCCCGTGGGGCCTGGCAGAGACATGCAGAGCAAACCCCAGCAAGCAGCCCCACCAGCTGGAGGAAGTAACTGACGGACCCATGCCTGGCTCTGCCAACAGTGGAGCCCATCTCTGTCCCCGTCCCTTGTTTCATCCCCACATCCCATACCCACTCAGTCCCAGACTCCAGTCTCCTATAAAGCACTTCTGTCCCTGCCCCTGGAGCTGTTAAGGAAGCAGCTCTAGGACAGGGCCAGCGGGGGCTCTGCATCCTCCTCCAATGCCTCCTTGCTGGCCTCCTCGCTGACCCGGCCTGGCCTTGATGCCACAACTACAAAGCCAACGAGGGGTCTGGGCCCTGAGAGTCTATGACTTTGGACTATTCACCTCACGTTGGGCCTCTCGCACTTTATCTCTGGGTGCTTTTCAAAGTGGTGGAAAGCTCATCTCAGAAATGACTTTGTGTTGAGACAGTGAGATATCTAAGAGTAGCAGCTGACATCCAGGACAGGCCTCAGACCCAGAAACGCCTCTGCCTCCAACAGTAGGGAGAACAGTCACCCACAAAGAAACTCCTAGTGAAGGAGCATACTGTTGCTGGAACAGCATCCTGCCCCTGCCCCACCGTGGGGTTCCTCAGGGAGGGGTGGGGGCGTGGAGCCTGGAGCCCTAGGTCAGGCCTGCGGGCATCACCCTGGAGCTGGGTGTGGGCCGGCCCTGGCTGCACAGAGCAGTGACCACACGCCAGCCGGACACTCGGCTTCAAGGCATGTCCAAGGACATAGGGCGCCAGCCGTGGCTTTTCAGGATCCAGGCAGCCTGGTTGTTCTCATTAGAGTAGATCAAGGAAAAGGAGAAGGAGGCGTGTATAAATCTCCTGCTGCCTGTCTTAAGGTTCTTGGCGGGGCTGGGATGCAGCAGAGTAAAATTATTTATGTGCCCAGAGCCAGGATGTCTTTCACACCTCGAATTCCCTTGCCCCTTCTGGGTTTTACTGGCATTGCCTAGGACTCTGGCCTATGGGCCCAGCCCCGGCCTCCCTTCCCCACTTAGAACTGCCTCCCTTCCCTGCTTAGAACTTTCCACACAAATCTGACCTGGAGAGAAGGGGCTCTTGTGTTAACAGATGACTTTATTTTTACCTGCTAGAACCAGGTGCTGTGGGACATCTGAGTTTCACGGAGATTCTGGACACATCTCTAAAGGTCAGCTGGCAGGAGCCCCTGGAGAAGAATGGAATCATTACAGGTGAGTATCCCTGTGCTTGGGAGAAGGAAAAACATGCTCGCCCCAATGGGGGAGATGGGCGTCGCTGGAAGCCACACAGCTGGCCGGGTAAAAGGGCATCATGGCCTCTCCAGGAAGCGGCATGTCTGCCGGACCTTGGGCAGAAGGCTCCATCACCACACCCAATACCGTGTCCTCAGGACCCTACCTCCTGGGGGCATTGCCCTGCATGGGCTGTGGCCTCCTTATGTTAACTTAACAAACCTCTAAAGCCTTTGATCAGGGAGACTCAGCATTTTGTGGCACATGCCCTCACACTCTCGGTCCCCCACGATTCTCCTAGCCATGCGGAGAGGTGTGTGCCCGTATCATGACCCATTCAAGAGGAGACAGGCCCCAAGAGGCCCTTCCTTAGCAGACGTGCACCAGAAGTCCACCGTGTGCAGTCTCTTCACTGAAACACTGCAAATCAGCCCACGGCCAGGTCCGTCCCCGGCCGGGATGGGCCCGACCGCAAAGCCTGGGTGCCCTGGCTCAGTGCGCTAGGGGGACCCAAGGTGAGGACAGCCAGCCTGCCATGTCCCCAGACAGACTCCCCTCAGGCTGCAGGGGTCTTTTGTAGGGCTTTGATGATTTTTTTTCAGAGAGCCTTATCCTTGGCTTGAAAAAAATTTCTGGGTGGCTCTGACTTCAGGGAAAGGTAGGAGCCTCAGCTTACCTCTCAGACCCTCCATTTCTTCGTGGGGCTGTTGGGAGGAGGCACCAGGTCAGCAGCCGCCAGAGGCCCCTTCTATTTAGCAAGCATTACTTGAAATGTCAAGCCAGCCACTCATATTCCCACTGCTCAGCCACTGGGTCTGGGACACATACTCTGTGGCAGGTGCTCTCTGGGGCTCTACCGGCAACACCTCCTGTCATATCCAGGGCTCCTGCCTCTGCCCCCTAAGCCTGGACCCTGAGGCTTTAGGAGTACCCAGCTCCTGAGTGAGCCATGTCCATCCTGTTTCTGAGTCCGCCAGGAGCCTAGGCTGTGTCCGCGGTCCCTCAGCCACCCGCCTACACTGCCCATGGAAGCCCTCATGTGCCCAGCCATCCAGAAGCCCACTCATGCTAACAAGTGTACCAGAGAGTCCAGGAATGATGTCTGTCCATGATGCCTGGCCGCGGGGTTCAGCTCCCACGGCTCTACCAACCCCATGTCTGGAGAGCATCAAGGGTCACCCTGGGTACATCCACATGCAAGCACCTTAGTATTACAGGATCTTGTTCAAACAGCCAGACAAAACACCTCCTACAATCTCCGTCCACCACCGTGGGTGGCAATGTCCTATGGTCACATGGCCAGCAGACAACCAGGCCAGCACAGGGATGCAAGTGTCCGTATTCTGGCCTCTACATCCTCAGTGTGCCGGCAATGGGATTCGAACCCTGCTCCTAACCCAACCCAGAGGTTCCCGTCTTCCTGGGGTGACAGTCTCTCACCAAGTCTCTCAAGGTCCCCAGGGTCAAAGAAGCACCTGACAGCTGTTTGTCAAGTTACTTGGTACAAACAGCTGATTAATATGCTAACAACTTAATAGCTGTTTGAAATTAAGTGAAAGAAAAACATTTGTATTTCCTTCTTCACACAAATAGGTTGTGTGTTTCTGATGTTCCCAAGGGAATCTGGCTCTGCCCACCTTCTTAAACATGGAGTCAGAGTGGACCCCACCACCTTCATTTCCTTAATTCCCCACATTGGTCTTCATGCTGTACCTGCCTCTGTATCACAGACACCACCAGAACCTCAGCTTTGCAAAGACAAGGTGTGTGCAAAGACACGTGGCCCGCCCTGATCCTGAAATTGGGAACAGATAAGGCTGGAGGTCTCCATCAACCCGGGGACATGGGCAAGAGGCACCCAGCATCACCAAGTTCCCACGCTGTTTCTGGGGCTCCGCACAGTGTCCCCAGTGGCCTGGGGCATAGCCTGGGGACTGCATTCCTCCCCTAAACTCCCTTTTTCTCTCCTTTAGTGGGGAAACCCCCTGGAGCCAGCCCCTTCCGACCCCCTGCAGAATGGTGTGCTCCGGCCACTATGTCCTCTGGGACGTCTGCACTGATGCCGCCTCTCCCTCTGACTTTTAACCAGAGTATACGTATGGGTCTGGTTCAGTCCTCAGAGCTAATGCTTTGAAATACCCTCTGTCAATAATATTGCAGCTCCAGGAAAGGGGACTGTAGGAGCCAGGATCTGGCCGGTATTCTGCAGCCTCTCAGCACAGGATCCCAAGTGTGAGTGTGTGAAATAACAAAGGCCTCCTGCTGCCTGGAGCAGAGGCTGGGGAGTCACGTGGGGGATGGGCAGAAAGGAAGCCTGGTTGGTTTAACTTTGCTCTAAGCCATGCGAAGGGAGGAAAAAGCAAACCAGGCTGCGCTTAGGGAAAACAAAAAAGCAAAAACACCAGAAGCGTGTAGAGGGAGGCTGCCCTGGAAAGCAAAGATGCTCCAGCTCAGACCTCTCAGGGACTGGTCGGTGCTGTGGCCGGAATGAGAGCTGTGCTTGCTCACTGTTGATTTCTGAGCCAGGGCGTCCGTGGCTGCCTGCTTGGCCTGTGGGTTTCAGGACCCGAGTCCCAGGAATCTGGCTAGGGTTCCTTGGTAGGCGAATGGACACGGAGACTCCCCTTCCTTCAGATATGCACTGGGTCCTCGTTCCTCGTGTAAATCTTCAGGGAAGCCCATGGGCATACGTAATCACTGAGCAGAGCCAGCATCTCCCGGCTGAGTGGTGCTTGCCAATACTTCCAATTTATGATCCTCTGTTCTCGCCAGCTAATAGAGCTTAATGAACTCATTTTCCTATTTTATTTAAACAAATACGTGTAGTTACAAGCAGTAGCCTATAGTTTACGTGGAGCTTGGCCTTCTGACTCCTGTGTGCTGTGGACCTGGGTTGGAGGCTGCGACTTCAGAGCTGCGGGCAGTGCTCTCTGGTCCCTCTCAGCGGCCACATGGTCTCCATCTCACTGTGTCTGACCTGTGCCATTATCTGTCTGGGGTCCCAGGAGCTCTGGTGAAGGCTGCAGAGGAAGAGGGCCTACGGGAGCTGAACCCGACAGCTGTGGTTTCCTAGGCCTAGCTGCACATCTCTCCAGCCCCAGCCCCAGTGACCCCTACCCTGGGCGAGGCCCTCCCTGGACCCAGATGCTCTGCCCCCAACTGAGGGTTCCACACCCTGCCTTGACGGGGCTCTAGGCAGCACCACAGGGTCTATCCCAGGCTCCAGACAGAGTAGCTCACCAAGAGGCAGCAGAAAAGCCTGGTCTATGGGCAAACCCAGCCTCGGGAAACCACAGACTGTCCTGGAGCCTTCCTGTTAACGCAGCTGCTGTTGGAACGGCTTTGGGGCAGATGACAACAGGCAGGCCTGGTCCTCTGCACGGGGCACCTGATGCTCCAGACACCTGCTGCCAGCCGTACCTCATCAGCCCCAATACACGGTGAGCAGCCCCAGGCCACCCTGTCAGTTTGGGGCCGGAAAGAGAGGGCCATCCTGAGGAGGGGCAGAGTGCCCAAGAGCAGATTGCCCACTGTGCTTATTGTAAATTCCAGCATCTTCCACTCTCCCTGCGTAAACTCTGATTTATGAGGGCCCGGATGCAGACAGACAGCTTGTGATTGGATGTACTGCTCTCTTGTAGAGAATTTACTGCAGATCAACGGAAAATTATTTCTGAAGCTCCTGGGGTCGTTAGTCTCAGGCAGCGATGGGAGCAAGGAGGACCCCCGCTGAAGACGCCCAGAGCTGGCAGGGCTGCCCCTCCTCCCGCAGGCTAGAGCAGGCAGTGAGACATCCACGCACAGCCCAAAGAGCCATGCCTCAGGGCACTGCTTCCCTTACGCCCTTCCTGAGGAAGTGAGGGCCATTGGGCTTTGTATCCACGACAGCAGCCCAGCCACATACCCAATGTGACAGCAGATCCCAGCGCTGCTGCCCCCACTGAGGGTGCTGGAAGTTTGGATTCCAGGCCACTGTGACAAACAATGTGCTGTATTTTTGTAAATTCTGATGAAGAACAGCATTTAAGCAAATAAAATCATAACATACAACAAAAACAAAACATAAAGCAAAGTCTTCCCCTCCTGTACATTCAGGGATGACCCTGAGGATCAAACTGTCTCGTGACGTATTCCGTAGAAACCTCTGAGGTCAGGGGAGTGGTCGGGTTTGCTCGCGAACATCAAGGCTTCAGAGAGAAGGCCTCAGGAGGTTCCGTGGGAAGGGTAGGGCCCGGCCAACCCTAGAAGTCCTTGCCAGCTTCCAGCAAGTTCACAAACGGCTCTGCACCTTGGCGTTCTCCATTATAAATAGGGTAGTGACTTTGCAGTTCCGCTATGAGATTAGATGAACTAATGTCAGCGAAGTGCTCAGAACACCACAGGAACTTTGGGAGCACTGTGTGTGCTTGAAGCTGTTCATACTCATTGCCCAGAAGGCTGGATTTTTAATTGTGTGATTAGATCCGAAATTCTGAATTAACAAAATAAAAAGAACTGATTGGCACACTGAGTGAGGCATGGAGGCTGGACGTGGGGTGGGTGGGCAATGAGGAGGGAGAGTCTGGGGTCCAGAGGGAGTAGGGCAGTGGGTGGTTAGCCAGTAGGAACACCGAGGTCTGGGGGCAGGTGGGCAGCCCACAGCCCAGATGGGCTGAGCAGAGCACAGGAGCCTGTGCAGAGACCAGAAGGTAACAGGGGAGGTGCAATGTGCAGGGAGGTGGCCGGCAGCCGGGTGCCCATCTGCTGCTCCCCCCTGGATGTTCTGTCAGCCTGGGGGCCTGGTGTCCTAGTGTCCTGGAGTAGGGAGTAGCTGGGCTGTGGGACCGCAGACAGGCAGCAGCTTCTGACATTAATTTTTTTTCAAAATATTAAAGTCCCGAGATACTCTTTAAATTCTTGTTTACCTGCAAGTGCAAGTTTCTAACTATATTTATTGCTTTCATCAGAATGAGCTTTAAGATGCCTCTTGGTGTTTCGGTATCTGTGAGTTTATTGACTGGAAAGAAGGAAGTGCAAGTGTTTTCAGCAGTTCCCCTTTCCTTTGGGCCCTCAAGCACCTTCCATCAGTGTCTCCTGCTTTAGGAGACCCTCTGCAGGGTCTCTAACCACATAAACTCCCCTCCATGGGGGTCAATTCAGGATCTTGCTGGGGCTTTTCTTCTCTGAGCTTAAAATAGCAGTGGAGTCCAAGGCTGAATAAATTGTGGTCACAAGGCCCCACTGGACTGAACAGAGACCAGGGAAAAATCAGATTTTGGCAGGAAAACAGAGGGTTCAGAAATTGGGGAGGCAGCAGAACTCATGCACTTAGACAGAGGGACTTTTTAGAGAAAGCACTTTGCACGGGAGAGAGCTTCTATCAATCACTTCATGAGGGAAAAAGTGGCAGCGTTTCCACAAATTAGTTGCAACCCAGGAGCAAGCTACTGATTTAGAGCAGTGCATAATGAAAATATCAGCGTATAAAAACGGAAATCTTGATGAAATGCATCCACATTTTGCCATGAGGCGAAATTGGGCACTGCAGGCTGGCGCCGTCACTCATCTTTCCCTAAGGCAGCTCGGGTGCCAGGGTCACCACCTGCAGGTGGGCCCGGGCTCCCACAGCCCACCGGGTGTCAGGGGGATGGGGACACTGTGGACAGAGGAGGGGCCCAGCTCGGAGTCCATGTGGGCAGAGCAGCAGGTTCTCTCCCAGCTTCAGCACATCTGCTGGGCTTTCATGCTGTTTTAGATCCTCTGTGACAGCGACAGCGGCATCCAGCCCCACCCTCAGCTCACAGGCGGCCCTGCTAATCCTGTGTTCTCGCTCCCCAGGCTACCAGGTTTCCTGGGAGGTGTACGGTAGGAACGGCTCTCGGCTCACCCACACCCTCAGTAACACAACTCATGAGTACAAAATCAAAGGGTTGTCGTCACTCACCACCTACACCATTGATGTGGCTGCTGTCACCACTGCGGGAGCCGGCCTGGCAACCTCATCCACCATTTCTTCTGGAGTTCCCCCAGGTCAGTAAAACCCTGCTGCCATGTCTCTAAGGGCAGGGCTCAGATATTGCAGGCGCTCTGGGTGGATGGCAGCCCTGTGCACACCCAGGGTCCTTTAGAAGACGGGTGTCTGCTATCTGCCGAGGCAGTGGGGTGGCAAGTGTACTAGGACTCAACGTCAGCCTTGTCCTCCAGCCTTATCTGCTGTTGAGGTGTGGACTGAGGGAGCGGGCCCCAGAGAGCAAGCTGGCCCCAAAGTCCTGCCCTCCAGGAGACCAGCAGTCAGGGCCCACACACGGAGCCACAGGCTTCCTCCAAGAGCGAGCAGTAGGAGGCGTCGATATTAAAACCAAGAATAGGAAGCATAAACCTTGATTCACTCAGTGAAACAGTGGAGATTTGGTCTGAGATAAGAAAAAGGAGTAGGAGGCGGTAGGAGGGAGAGCAGGGTGTTCGTGGGTGCCAGTGGCTGTGGACCATCACTCTGTGATGTGGGCATGGGCTGCCCCTACCCTCTTGTCCTTTCTGAGATTCAGATTATCTCCCTAAACACACAGCACACTCATTTCAGCTTCAGAGAACTGTACTTCACTCTTTCCTCTCTAATTTTAAAATTTACATTTAAAATAAAAGTGTCTTTCCTGGGAGTTCACAAATACAAGGGAATGTGAAGAGGTATTTGGGGCTCTCGGATCAGTTCTGAAATTAAAGCTGTCGGGCTCTTGCTCTTTAGAAGATGCCTGTTGGCCTTGTGTCAGTTGGTCTTTGGGGCTAAAGCCCTGAAGCTCCCTCCGAAATCAGCATGTCCTCCTTTAGCACCATCCGCCTCCAGACCCATGTTCCTAGCCCAGCTGTCTTCTGGGAAGGGGGCCACTCATGATCTGCACGGGATGCAAAGCAAATAAAATGCATACAGTAAAGAAAGAAACATGCACATGAATGCGTGTGTCCTCCTCACAGAGACTGCATCCAGAGAGAGTTGGGCAGCCCTACAAGCTCTATGTGGTGGCAGAAGGATGAGGGCACAGCATTCACTCTCCCCTGAGCAAGGTGACCTCCTAGGACACTGTCTGGAGGCCAGTAGCCTCCCTCTGAGGCAGCAGTTGACCACCATCACCCATAGCAGTGTCCCAGGGGCTTCTCATAAAGCCCATGGCTAGGCTGCCAAGTGTGGAGCAAGGCTGGAGGATTTGCCTCTGGAGCAGGTACCCCGGGCGTGCATATGCTGCTCATCGGGGACCACACTCAAAGGCAATCTGGTGTTTCTTAAAGGCATTTACAAAATAAGTTTACTTTTTTATAGAAAGAAGTCTTTGGCTGACAGAAAGATTTGTTTATTCTATACAAACAGTGCATTCCCATAGCACACATTCAAAACATTGTTAGCACTCAAGGGCACCTGGGTGGCTCAGTTGATTGAGCATCCGACTCTTGATTTCGGCTCAGGTCATGATCTCAGGATTGTGAGATCATGGGCTCCGGGCTGAGCTTGGAGCCTGTGTGAGATTCTCTCTCTCCTTCTCCTGCCCCTTCCCACTTGTGCACACGCGCTCTCTCTCTCTTTTAAAAACAAAAAACAAAAAACAAAAAACCCTACATTGATAACACTCTAATACCTAGTGATGCTGGCATTGTAAAGTGTCATTGTTAGAGTCATCTCACACACACAGACTGACAGTAACAGTAACTCTGGGGCACTAGCATGTGTGAACCGGTTTCCCTGAGATGCTTGGGCTCAGTCCAGGCGGGTGGACCTGCAGAGTGAGGACACCAGGGGACAGGGCCCCACTGCACCTAGTGAACTTTGATGAACCAAGGTGAAGGAAGCAGTGGAGGTGCTGCTGCTTCATGTCAAGGTCGGGTCCTCCATAGCCAGGGATGGATCCCGGGGTGTCCCTGAGTGCCCTGAGTGTCGGCTGGAAGCAACCTCACAATGACCATCACTCAGGAGGACTGTATTCTGCTTGCTGAGCTTGAAGTGCACATTCATTTAATGTCTGGAGCACCATTTAAAGGATCTAGTGAGCTGACACATCCAAAGACAAGAGTCACTTGTCCTTCAATGTAAACATTTTCTGCTTCAGATTCATTAAACGAGACGTGGAAAGGCCCCTCGAGGTCCTAGAGACCCAGGCTGTGCCAGTGCTGACCTGATCACTGAAGTGGCTTTACTGTTCCTGTGCAAGTCCTGGTTTCCAGCACTCCTAGCTCCGGAGGACCCAAGGGTGTTCCCCAGAGCAGTGAAAGCAGCAAAGTGTTGCCACTCCCTGCCTGGCATCCCTCCCCCCTCCCTTCCATCCCACTGTCTTTCTCTAGAGTAGCCCAGTAAGATAAGAGCCCCCGCCATTTCCAACTCATGATGTTTCACTTTTGAGTGGGACAGGCTCTTTGGGGGAGCAGCCAGCCAGAAGGGCCCTATTGGGTGAGTAGGCTCAAGCCCCAGGTAACCTCACAGGATGAAAGCCCATTCAGAGCCCCCCTTCTCCCATTTAGTTGCCGGAGCAACTGAACTCAGGCGGAGTGGGGAGGGCTCTGCACTTTCACCTGAATGCTGTTGTCTTGGAAACCAGACCCAGGAGCCTAAGGCTCAGGACCCACACACCTGGCAGCAGATATGTGGCACCTGCGTTCTCCCGCCCGCCCCACTCGGCTTGCCCCAGCATCATGGTCACCACCAAAGGGAGGGTGGACATTTGGTTGTGTTCTTTTCGGAGCCTGAAAGAATGATATCCATTCATCCTTTCATCCTTCAACCATAACCTGCCGTGCAGAGATGAGTGAGTCCTGACCTTCAGAGTGGATCATCCAGAGGCCACGTGAAAATGTGTCCCCACATGGAATATGTCCTCATCCCACTTCAGAGGCCATGATGCCTGATGGGTGACCCCAGAAAGTAAGGATCATGCTGTGGTCATGTTCCCACAAGCAGGCTTCTCACTAACATGGTTTTGAAAACAAATTGAGGCATTTTGAAACCACTTACTTACTGACATGTTTGGTGCATTTCGTGAGCTGTTGGAACTTGCATCTCCACATTTTCCCTCTCCTTTGTCTCTAGAGCTCCCTGGCGCCCCATCCAATCTGGTCATTTCCAACATCAGCCCCCGCTCAGCCACACTTCAGTTCCGACCAGGCTACGATGGGAAGACCTCCATCTCCAGGTGGATCGTAGAGGGCCAGGTATGCTCTCCTGGGAGTGGACAGCAGGGTTTCCAGACAGGGGACTGATGCTCTGCAGAATGGCTGGTTAGGGGCACAGAGACTCTCAGGACAGGGGGTTTGGGAGGCGGTCAAGTTTGCAGGATGTGAGCCAGAGACTGGAGATGATGGGCTGCCAGGGGCAGGATGTGGAAAGGTAAGAGACAGGATGTTATGTTGGGGTCTGAATAGACCACAGAAGAAATTATGAGAAGGCTTAACATTCAGTTTTCAGCTCCAAATAGGGACCTAAATTGAATGGCATAGTTGATTTATTTCTTTTTAATTCCATCTAACAATAAGCTACCAGATGTACAAATAAGATTTTTTTGGTACAACTTGTGTATCCTGTGAATGAATGTGCCCCGTGTAGAGAGCATGTGTGTTCCCAAGCACTGTTCCAGGCAGGACACAAAGAGGACAAATTTTCATCTTGGGAGAAAAGAACATGTACGTCACAGTCGAGGACTGGCAGGGAGGCCCGAGGGCTGGAGCAAGTATGGAAAAGAGTGGGAGGCATGGGTTCAGAAGAGCCCGGGGGCAGATCCCATGGGGTCACGGGCATGGGGTTCCATGGGGCTGGGGCACCACACAAGCCACAGTTCATGTTCCAACAACAGCAGGAGATAAAAAGCTGAAGAGACAAAGTGTGGAAGAGTATAGTGTCAGAACAGTTCTTGTCTCTAGTAAAATCCCAGTAACTTTTGGAGCTGTGCTTGTGCTCTGTTGGAAGACTTGCTTGTGCTCTGTTGAAAGACTTACTTTTGGAAATTGGCCATACATTAGGGACCAAGTCCACATACATCCTCAAAACTTTCATTAAGAAACTATTTCTGAGGGCAGCCCCAGTGGCACAGCAGTTTAGCACCGCCTGCAGCCTAGGGTGTGATCCTGGGGACCCAGGATCAAGTCCCACATCAGGCTCCTTGCATGGAGCCTGCTTCTCCCTCTGCTGCCTGTGTCTCAGCCTCTCTGTGTCTCTCATGAATAAATAAATAAAATCTTAAAAAAAAAAAAGAAAAGAAAAGAAACTATTTCTGAAAACTGACGCGCAGGAATCTGAAAGTGCAAACCAGCTGGTTGGGTCCCATTGATAAAAGGGGCTAGAACGACTCTTAGGAAAAAAATCAACAGAATGTCCCTACCTCACATCAAATTGAAAACATAGGTCCCCAGTGAATGAAAACCAAAATGATAAAAGTGAACTTTAAAACACATAGAGGAAAATGAAGGAGAAAAATCACTTTATCTCATGAAAAGCAATTCTGGAGTCTCAAGGTCCATCAGAAATAGCTGGGCAGGGAAGACAGAATCACATGGTACAGTCCTTGGCATCACTTGTCCTGGGACAGCTGAGCCCTGTGCATGCCAAGGACACAGGTCTCAAGCTTCAGACCTGTGCGTGAGACTCACATAGGCTGCAGTGGCATGGAAATTCCAACATCTTCTGGCTCCCCAAATAAGGCCTTTACTCCCTGCCTCCAGGGCCAGCCAGGATCAGACTACTCCTGTCTGTGTTCTGTTTACCAGAACTCAGTCGTGAACCTCCAGTTACACAAGAGGGGGTCTGGGAACTGTCTTAGTTTCCTTGAGAAGAGGAATCAGCATGGTGGACGCAGAGCAGCTTCTCTGCTGCAGCACATTTGCTCTGCACCACCATCCCACAACCACGTCCTTAGATTTTTAACATTAAAAAGTTTTAAACATACCCAAGAGGAAAGACGATGACAAAACAAACTCCTACATGCCCATGATCTAGCTTCACCTGTTCTATTACCTAGATCCATCTAGTTCCCCTTTTATTGTTGCTGAGGTGTTTTTTTTAAATGCTTTTATGCCATAAAATGCAGCTATGAAAAAATGGCAAAGTCTATGTTTATTGACTCACTGACATAGGAAGATGTTCACGTGCATATCATTTGATGCACAAACAAGCAGATCAAATGTATCTCTTCTCTTATATGAAGTCATTTATGCAAAATTACATGGTCATATTTGTGTATGGAATGATAACATCAGTGGCTAATCTGCTTAGTTTAACTTCTTTATACATACATAGCTACACATAGACCTAATTTTATATCTGTATACACCTCTATACATCTATCCCCCCCACTTTCATTGAGAAATAATTGGCACACATACATCATGGTCTAAGTTTAAGGCATACAGCATGATGGTTTGATTTGGCTGTTAGTGTTTTATTTTACTTTTTTTTAAAGATTTTATTTATTTATTCACTAGAGACATGGAGAGAGAGGCAGAGACACAGGCAGAGGGAGAAGCAGGCTCCATGCAGGGAGCCCGATGTCGGACTTGATCCCAGGACCCCAGGATCACGCCCTGAGCTAAAGGCAGATGCTCAACCTCTGAGCCACCCAGGGATCCCCAGCTGTAGTGTTTTAAAGCACATCTCAGACCACATGTCATTTCACCATGAAGTTTTCAGGGTGTGTCTCTGTCTATATGTGCAAACTAAATATGGATGAATTTCACAAACGTAATGTTGAGCAAACAAAGCCAGACTCACATTTTGAGTAGACACTGTTCGATTCCACTTATATAAAGTTCCAAAACAAGAAGTCATCTTTGGTGTTGGGGTTCCGGCTCCCCTTGGGGCCTTGTGGTTCCGCAGTACAGGAGGGGTTGACAGAGCCTCCCAAATGCTGGGAATGTTGCTTTTTAGTCTGGGATGTGCTTATCTTGTCTGTCCACCTGTGGTTGGCATACTCGTCTGTATGTCTATATTTCCTTCAGAAAACCTTTACATTAAAACATCCATACTCTCAAAATTATAATGCCATTATTGTACTTAAAAATTCCTTAATATCATCTAATAATCAGTCCACATTCAAATTTCCTGAAAATTTCCAAGAACATCTTTTTACTGTGGTTTTGATGAAAACCAGATCCACACAAACTTGACACTATGCATTTGGTTGTCCTGACTCATAAACTGTTTAAGGAAATTTCTTAACACCTTTATCGGGTTAATTGGCACATAATAAACTTGATATTTCTAGCATATACAACTTGATAAGCCCTGACCTAGATGTATGCATTCCTGTGAAACCTTCACCAGGATCAAGTTGATGAGCAAATCCATCACCCCTAGAAGTTTCCTCCCCCTACCCCTGGCCCAGCCCCAGCAATGGCTTGTGAATCCCAGTCAGCTGTCCCTTGGCTTGTCCTGCATCAGAGGGGCACCCTTTACCTCCTTGGCTGTCCCTGGCTCCTCAGCCTCCTGTTTCCTGTACATGGAAGTTTCACTCCAAATCCTCAATGAGCATATCCTCGGAGGACACATCCCAACACCCCCAGGGGATGCCTGAAACCAGGGTAGTGCAGTCCCTGTGTGTGCTGTGTTCTTCCCAAGATGTACATAATTATGACAAAGTTTAGTTTATACATTTGCACCATGAGAGATGAACAGCAATAACCAAAAGTAAAATAGAACAATCCTAACAACATACCGTAGGAAAAGTGTGTGAATGTGGTCTCTCTCCCAGAACAGCTCACTGTCCTGTGCCTACCCTTCTTATGATGTGAGATGATAAAATGCCAGGAGATGAGATGAAGTAGGGGAATGATGTAGACCCATGAGACGGCATCAGGAAGAGGGTCCCCTGCCTCTGGCCCAGGGGTGAATGTGGGTGGAACCCCAGGACGTGGGGCCATGGGGAAGGACTGACTGCTGCAGACTGGGGCGACTCTGATGTGGTCCCCAGCTGGTGCCAAGTGCCCCACTGTGCAGCACGCCAGGACACACAGTGGCCGCGCATCCCACTCTCAGGGACACCAAGGATGCTGTGAGTTACTTACTCACACTTACTGGTCTCAGCCATCGATGGTCTTTCCTGAGTGAAGTATTTTCCTAAGATTTTCAAAATGGTGATTTTCTGTCATCTGAAAAGAAGTGTGTCCCCTCATCCCTCAGGCAGGTCAGTTACCCTGAACACAGGAAGGTGGGATAAATGCTGAGTCTTTTTCCTGAATTCTCAGCCTCAGAGTAAGGAACTGGTCCCCGCTTATCCCAGTATTCATTCATTCATTCATTGCTCCCTCTGTCTCTCCCTCCCTCCCTCATCTCTACTATCTCTTCCCCTGAGTTATCAATATGAAAGTATAGTTTTTAAAAATATATTCAGTGCACTTCAATCACCTACAGTCATTATTCTTTTTGAATCTAACCTTGACCCATCTTGGCCAGTGGGGAGCATGTCATGTTCTGGGCTTTCTGACATGGAGTCACCAATCTTTGATGACTTTGTACACAGCAGGATGTCCCGGGATCATCCTGTGCCTTCCTGTCCTGCAGCTCAAGCTCAGATGGATCATTCCCACCTGGTTTCGTTTAGTGTCAGATGGTGTTTAAAGACCAGAGTCTGGGCACTGAGGGCGGAGAAGGGGTGCTCATTGCCTCCAGCTGGACGTTCTAGACCTTTCCCAGGGACAGAAAAAGGAAACATCATGAGTTCATGCTGCTATTTCCAGGCAAATTTAAGATAACTTTAACTTGGAATTTACAGTTGAAATACCTTTTTTTCTAAAATTGTGCTTTTAGAAATATTAACATCATCACTTATTTTCATTATCCTACTATCGTATCAAGAGTTTCACAATGATAATTTTAATGGTACTACTCACAATAAGACTACTGAATGCGGTATTAGTATTTGTCCTTGAGCCATATTATGCTACCTATGTATGGTCAAAATACTGAGTTCTAAATTATTTTCTTTATGTGAAAATAATTACAACTTAATACAAACCAAAGTTCATTCATTTCAGGGTTGTGTTTTGTTTCATTCTTTGCTTCTATTTTTAATGACTCCCTTCTTTAAAAATCATTTAACTTTAAAAAAAATTGTTAAAATAATTGAAATTTATTTTCGAACATGTAACTCATTCACACCGGCTCAAAGTCAAAACCACAGAAAAGGTGTATCCAGAGAAGTTCCTCTTTCCCCCTTCACTCTGTG